ATAGTACCTTGTTGTTTTCATTTGCAATTCTCTATGACACGCGATGTAGAGTCTTTTTTCAAATGCTTATTTGCCATCTGTATATCTTCTTTGGTGAAGTGACTGTTCAGGTCTTTGGCCCATTTTTAAATCAGATTGTTTGTTTTCTTATTGATGTGTTTTAAGAGTTCTTTGTTTATTTTGGATAACATTTCTTTATTAGACGTGTCTTTTGCAAATATTTTCTCCCAGTCTGTGGCCTGTCGTCTCGTTCTCTTGACATTGTCTTTTACGGAGCAGAAGTTTTTAATTGTAATGAGGTCCAGCTTACCAGTTCTTTCTTTCATAAATGTCCTTGGTGTTGTATGCAAAAAATCATTGCCGTAGCCAAGATCATCTAGGTCTCCTCCTATGGTATCGTCTAGCAGTTTTGTGTATTTGTCTTTTACATTTAGGTCTATGAGTCATTTTAATTTTTGTGAAGGGTGTAAGGTCTGTGTTTAGACTCTCTCTTTTTGCCTGTGGATGTCCAGCTGTTCCAGCAACATTTGTTGAAAACGCTAAACTCATTTGATTTTCAAAATAGACTTTGAGGCAGGCATTATTAGCCCACTTTTTCAGATAAGGAAACTCAGGCACAGAGAGGTTTTGTAAGTCACCCAGAGTAACACAGCTAGCCTTGACCGAGCTGGAATTTGAACCCAGGCAACCTGGCTCCCGAGTCCATGCACTCAACCCCTATCTATAAAAATAATGTCTCCCTCAGGGACTTCACTGGGGGTCCAATGGTTAAGACTTCGCCTTCCAATGCAGGGGTGCGGGTTTGATCCATGGTCGGGGAGCTAAGATCCCACATGCCTCGTGGCCAAAAAACCAAAAAATATAAAACAGAAGCAATATTTGTAACAAATTCAATAAAGGCTTTAAAAACGGTCGACATCAGGGCTTCCCTGGTGGCGCAGTGGTCGAGAGTCTGCCTGCCAATGCAGGGGACGCGGGTTCGTGCCCAGGTCTGGGAAGATCCCACATGCCGTGGAGCGGATGGGTCCGTGAGCCATGGCCGCTGAGCCTGCGCATCCAGAGCCTGTGTTCCGCAATGCAAAAGGCCACAACAGTGAGAGGCCCGTGTACCGCACAAAAAAAAAAAAAAAAAGAAAGAATCGTTGACATCAAAAAGATCTTTTAAAAAAATGTCTCCCTCATACGTTTGTTGTGAGGAATAGAGATAGTGTCTAGCACATAGTAGCTGCTCAGAAAGCAATAGTGATAATCATTGTCCTACTTAGCTTCCAAGGTTCCGCTCAAATGGCATGTCCTCAGAGCAGCTTTCTTTCATTCCTCCAGCCAAATAAGCCGTCCATTATAGCATCATCTCATCATCCAAGGGATGACAGCGTGGTGAATCCCCCTGCAGTCAAAGTTCACTACCAGCCCCCGCCCTCACCATGTGAGTTCCCTGGAGAGACGCTCCAGGTCTGATGTCCCTCAGAGTGTGCTGCACTTGGCACTTAGCAGGATCTCAGTAAAAGTGTGCTGCATTGAGTTTGCGTTACATGCTATTCCTTTATCCAACATGCACATTCTGGGTTTGGTCTATTCCTCAGGATCTCTCAGTTCTCACTCAGCTCTTAGCTCCTGAGCCCCCTTGCTTGAACCTTCCCTGGTCTGTCAGGTTGGGCCACGCCTGCCAGAAGTTCCCGGTTGGGCTGTTTACGGAGGCAGCTGCCCTTGTCTGCGACACCCTTTTACCTGCACCACCCCACTCAGTTTCTTCCACGTTCTGGGGTACCTCCCTTCAGTATGGACACTGCCCGTAGAAATGCCCACCTCGCTCTCTCAGCTCAAGGCATAGCACCTCTCTTGGAGGTCTGGTCTCTAAATGTCTCTGGCCTCTTCCAGAAAGTCTAAAATTCCTTCTCAATGGGTAGAGCAGCTCACCCGATATTGATAGGACATGAGGACCCAGGGGCAGACCTCATTCCAAAGAGCTTCTGAAAGCTGTTAATCTTGGCATTGCGGGACTCCTTTGGGGAGTGAGTGCCATTTATGGCTATGACTCCTGGGCCTTGGCTCATCCTTTAGACAACTCCACCTGAGACAGGGCTCTCTCAGGCCAAGCCACCAGAAGGCTGTGTCCACCTTGGGGAGTACATTCTTCCAGTGCCACCTTGGGCATGGCTGGCAGTGCCTGCTTTGGACGAGGCCAACTGGCATCCTCCAGCAGCACCCTATGTCTGTCTCTGCAGAGCCACCCTGGGAAGATGTGGCCCGCGAGGCTCAGTTGTTTTCTCTGGACAGCACTGTCCTGGGCAGCACCCTCTTGGACACAGCCAGCAGAGTCCACCAGTGCCTGCCGCGGACAGAGCCTGTTCCATACATTCAGCATGACCCCGGGGCCTGCCCTGGGCACGCTCAGCAGCCCCCAGTGCCCAGTGCAGACAGGATCTCCAGGCAGGGCCTCTCGGACCCGGACCGAGGCCTCCAGGGCAGCTCCCGGTGCCCGCCTGGCCCGCTCTGGAGGCGCGCCCAGGCGCTGCCAGGAAGGCCGGCCGTTTATCCCCGGAGCCGCCAGCAGGGAGCTCCCTTTCGGCTCGGCTCGTGCGGCCGCGGGGGGCGGCGCTGCGCTACGCCGTGCTGCGCTCCTGCCCGGACCGGGCCGGGGCCGCTGGATGCCGCGTCTCCGCTCCTGCTGCCTGCCGGGCGGGCTCCGGCGGCCGGTGAGTGCGGGGCGGCGGGGATGGCCGCTCGGTAGCGGGCTGGGGCCGGGCCCGGGGTGGGGGTGGGGGGGGCGGCGGGGCGGGCTCGGGCCGGGAAGGCGGGCGGGCGGCGGGGCCCGCCGGCTCCTCCTCCTCCCCTGTCCCCTGGAAGCGGCGGCCCGGACTCCCGGCTCCGGTCCCTGGCCGTGCCGCGCAGCTCGGCGCCGGGACGCGGGGCCGACCGGGAGTCGGGCGGGAGGGCGAGCTCCGGCCCCTTTTGCCACCTCGAGGGGCGGGGGGAGGCCGGACAGGGTGGCCTTCAGTTTCGGGGGGGCGTTCGGGGCTCGGGGGAGCCCAGGTGGCCCCGAGCTGCGGGGTGGAGGCTGCAGCCCGGGGGGTAGGGGGCTTCTCGAGGCCAGGCCCAGGCCCCCCCAGACAGACTGACGGACCGAGGCTCTGAGGAAGGCAGCGGGGAAGGCGAGCACCTCCACCGAGTCCTTTATCCCTCCCAGCGGCCTTCACCCTTTCATTGCCAGGCCGACACCGGACTCCTCTCAAAGGAGCAGCTGCCAGACAGCTGGCAAAACAATGGAGACCCTGCTTCCCTGGGCCCCCTCCCCTTGGGGCAGAAGACGGGGGGCGGATGGGTGAACGGTAGGCTTTGGGGATTAGGGTGTGCCAGCTGTCCCCTGCGAATGGCTGCTCACCTCACCTCTCCCTGCCAAGGGGTGGGGTGCGTGTGGGAAGGTTGGACTATCTGCCCCAGGCCTCTGGGAGAGACTGCCCTGATGCCCCGCCCTGCGAACCTGTCATGCCAGTTGCTTCGCCAATGGGAAGGGGAGATGGTAAGGTTCGCTGCCCCCCACCCCCTTGTTGGGGGTGCCGCTGGTACCAAGCCTGGTGAGGAGTGGGTCCTGTTCCTGGCTGAGATAAGGCCTGCAGGGACACACCGCACATTGGAGCTTTGTTTGGGGGTAGGGGTGCAGTGGGGGATGGCGGTGTCACCCTGTTGCAAGGCATGTGTGTCCTGCTGATTAGTTGGAAAGGCTGCCGGCCAGAATGAGCTGGCGGGGAGGGTGAGGATGGGGGAGGCTGCCAGTTCGTTTTTTAAGCAGTACTCCTTTTGCCTGGTCCCTTGGCCAATGGGGCATGTGTTTGGCAGTGTCCTCATGGTTTGTGTTTGTGTAGGGAGGCCTGGGATGGTGCTTCCTGGGAAGAGCTTTCCTGCCTAGGGCCTTCCTGCCCTCAGATGGTCCCCCCAAATTATGGAATTGGATTCCCTCCCCTCTTCACCTTGCCAATGATTTATGTAGGTTCGTTTTGTCTTTTGGAGTACCTAGCATGTCTGTGGCTGAGGAGGCCTAGTAAATCCCCCTATGAAGAACGAATGGTGCCGAGTGTGTCTGCACTGCGGCCATGCTGGAAGGGATGGAAGGTTGTCCAGGTGATTAAGAGCAAGAACACCTTAGCAAGACGTTGAACCTAGAGGTTCAAGCTGCCTTGCCATGTGCTTACCAGGTCTGGAGCCCTTTTCTTGGGCAGGTTGGTATCCTGTTGTCATGGCAATGGAGTTGGCCTTGCCTTGTGTTCCCCACCCTATTAGCTCAGGGGCTACTTTCTAGTTGGAGATATTGAAAATTGCTCTCTTGAGGTCTCTGGTTTCCGGACAGACCTCACTGGCTCTTTGTCAGTGGCCTGCCCTCTGTCCTTTTGTGATGAGGACTTTCCAGGAAGCATCCTCCTGGTTGCTGGGCATGACTGGTTATATATGGCTTTGGGTGGAGGTGTGCTTGTACATTTGGGGTTAGGAACATTGGAGTTGGGGCCTCAATTCCAGGAAGATGATGGGGGAAGCTATTGTGTTGGGGGGTTAGGGGAATGAGAAGCATCACAGGTGGGAGTGGAGGGTGGGTGAGGAAGGGGTAGAATGCTGATGGTCACTTCCTGTGGGAGCTTTGAGCTTTGAACAGTTGATGACTTGGCACCTGGCAGCTCTGAATATCTAGTTTGTTTACTCCTGTCTCCTGGCCTGACTCAGGTGCCAGGGTGTGTGTCCCAGGGCTTCCTCTCACGATCCAGGCTCTCCTCAGAAATCTTCAGGTGGATTGTGCCCTTCCTGACTCCTGCCTGGTCCCTCAACCTCACTGCCTGGCAGTCTGGACAGCCAGCCTGTTGGCTGGAGACCGCTTCACTGGCCTAGCTTGAGGCTGTTCATTGAGGGGTACATGTGTCTTCAGAAGCTGGGCCTGAAAACTCCAGGGTCCCCCAGTGGCAGGTACCTGAAGGTTGACTGGGAGGGGCAGAAGTGGGGCTTGTGTGAAAGGAAGAATCCACCCTCTTAGGTGGAGCAGGGAGTTGTTGGAACTCAGGAAGGCTTGATTCAGACTTGCTGTGTCACAGATCTCCAGGGCAGCAGGGCTGTTCTTACTCCTTCTCAACCAGAGGTCTGTCCCCAGCCAGACCTCCTTCACCTGGAGTGGATACCACAGACTGGAGCCAGAGGATCCACGTGAGCAGGGTCCTGTTGGTGGCCCTGAGCCCCAGGCCTTGTCCTAGGCCTCTCCTGGGTGTGGTGGGTAAAGCTGAGGGGCTCTGGCCTGATATAGTTTAAAGGTTTGCGGGGTTGGGAGGGCCCAGCCCACCCTGTGCTATGATGAACCCAGGACTTGGGTTGGGGGCTTGATGGAGCTTTTAAGTTCTGCTTTGGGTCAGGCCCCGGGGTTCTTTAAGATCTGCTCACTGCACGTCACCCCCCATCACCATTTTCTGAGGCAGCCTGAATTAGAGGGTCAGGTGGTGCAGTAGTGGGAACTGGATTGGGAAGGGTGGGGAACAGACTTGGAAACCCCCTCACCCTCCGCCCCTTACTTTCCTGCCCTTTCTCTTGAGGTAGGAATTGTGTGGCTTGTAAATTATCCACATTCCCTTGACATTTCAAATAGTTTACAGTCAGGCAGCAGTTTAAATTGTGGACTGATGATTTTACAGGGCCCAGGGCCCTTTCTCGCAGCCAGGTACTTCATAGTCACTTACAAGGAATTATTTTTGTTATTCTCTAGTATTCAGAGATGTTGGATGATGGGCTGTAGGTCACACAGCAAATCAGAGGGAGAGCGGGATTAGAACCTCAAGTTTGTGGTTGAGCTGAATACCTCTTCAGCGAAGCCCGAGTCTGAAGTCTCAGGCCCATGGAGATTTTAGAGTTGAAAAAGCTGAGGTCTAGAGAGAGGACGGGACTTGCTCAAGGTCACACAGGAGGTGGGGTGTTGGGGTGTTAGCTGAGCTTAGCGCCCAGCGGGCTGCGGCAGGCCCCGCGGGGGGCCAAGGAGGTGCATCTGGAAGAGCCGCCGGGGACCTGGCCGGGCTTCTGGCACGTCTCCCGCTCTCGTTTCTCCCGGGGCCTGCGGGATTGCTGCGTTCCAGGGGAGACGGTATCGCAGCGGAGGCGCCGCGGGGCTGCGTCTGCGCCGGCCCGGCTGCCTGGAGGTGCCGAGGGCCGAGGGTTCCCGGCGCTGCGGCGGGCAGGGCAGGGAGCCGGCTGCCGGGCGGCCGGGCCGGCTGATGTCATGTGAGAAGCGTGCAGACGGAGTGAGTGAGCACACCTGGAGCCAGAGAAGCTCCATGTGACCTGGCAGTGAGTCATGGGCCGCGGCGGGGCTCAGCAGGACCGCCGGCAAGAAGCTCCACGGCGGCGGCGACAGGCGTCACCCTGCGCTGCCCGGGCCGGGCGAGCCCCCCTGGGCCACGCGTGCAATTCCTCGGTCCGGGCTGGCAGGCGGGCGAGCGCCCCATCAAGGCCTCGGGGCGGTAGGAAACGGCCGCTCAGGGAGGTCAGAGGCCAAGGGAGAGAGGCCGGCTCTCTTGGGAAAGTATTTCCTTTGTATTTATTTATGAGTGTGGTCGAGGGTGGGAGGACTGGCCGTTTTAAGTATACACCCACGGCAGCCAAGTCTGGGCGCCCTTTTCTTGGGATTCTAATGTTATAGTTTCCATTTCCTGGGGTTTCTACTTTGCCAGCTGCAGGGTGACCCATTTAAATCTGTCCCCACTTAAAGCCACAAGACACTAGTGAGATCTATTTTAACCAAGTCCCCCAAGTCACTGAAACATTTTCAAAGCATGAGATGGCCAGCTTTGAACTTGTCGTTGCAAACCGGTTTACAGCTTTAATGCCAAATGCATTGCTTATTACTTTGTCACACCTTCCTTTTTTCTTCTTTGATCTTTAAAATCACAAAAGTAACATGCTAAAAAAAGGTTTTATCTGTAGCAAGTCTATGAGGTAGAAAGCTGAAGTGTTACCCCTCTTTGCCATTATTCCACAGAGAAAAATCACTGATATATTTTTGTAACAGATCTTTCCAGACTATTTTTTAAAAGCTTGTTATGAATATTTTATATATTATGTATTTATAGTTTAATACTTATATGTTATATAAATAGATTTGTGTGTGTGTGTGTGTGGTACACGGGCCTCTCACTGCTGTGGCCTCTCCCGTTGCGGAGCACAGGCTCCGGACGCGCAGTCTCAGCGGCCATGGCTCATGGGCCCAGCCGCTCCGCGGCATGTGGGATCTTCCTGGACCAGGGCTCGAACCCGTGTCCCCTGCATCGGCAGGCGGACTCTCAACCACTGCACCACCAGGGAAGCCCCTACCTCATTCTTTTAAATAACTGCTAAGTTCTATAATTTAGCCACTCCCCTAGTGATGGGCATTTATAGAGACAGAATTTTGCTATTATGAAATAGCAAAGATTAGCCATGTTTATTGTGCTGCAAAGATTAGCTGTGTTTATTGTGTGAATATATCTATAGATGTCCTATAAATGGAATGGCCCTGTCAAAGAATATGTACCTTTAAATATTTTCGTAGATACCACACACTTGCCCTCCTTTTATCAACTTATATTCCCAGCAACACATTTGGGACACCCTGCTTCTCACCCTCTAATTGATTGATGTTAGCTTGGTAGTTTTTACTAAACTGCTAAGTGAACGCAGTATACCTCTGTTTTATTTCGCACAGCTGTGACCATTACTCAGGCTGAATACCTGTTCATGTTTGTTGGCCATTTGTATTTCCGCATCTATGAATTGCCTGTCCTTATCTTGGCAGTAGTTATATGGGGCCTCTGGACTCGAGCCAGTGTGATCCAGCTTGGCCGTGTGCTAACTGGATTGCCTTCACTTCTTTGGGCTTTACTTTCCATATACAAAGGTTCTGTAGAGCATTAAGATTGTATGTCTAGACTTATTTTAGTCATATGTGTGCTGATAGTCATTTGTGTACTTTATTATCCTCTCTACCATCCCATTAAATGGCATAAATGTGCCTTGCTACCACTGGGTACCATTCTTGAGGACTTAGTTTGGTCTAGGCATTATATGAAGGGCATATATACATATTTCGTTTAATTCCCATGCCTTATGTAGTAGGTACTATTATTTCCATTAAAAAAAAATGGGAAAATAGAGGCACAGAGGCTTTCAGTGACTTGCCCAAGATTGCATCGCTGTTAACCCGAATTTGTTTTCAGCTTTGTTACCTGACATCTGAAGCCTAAACTCTTCCATGGGTTTTATTTATCTTTATATCCCCTACATTTAGTAGGTGCTTGATAAATACATACTTTTCCCAACATTTTATCACAAGGATCTGCAAACATTTAGAAAAGTTAGAGTTCTACAGTGAACACCCCATCTCCTAGACTCTACAGTGAACGCTTTACTATCCTTGTTTATCACATCTTTATCCCTTGATCCAACCCTCAAGGCATCTTATATTTTTGATGCCTCTCAGAGTAAATTGCAGACACCAATATACGTTACCCCCAATACATTAGCATACATATCATTAACTAGAGTTTGATATTTGTTTACTGTTTTCTTCTTTTGAGTGAATATTTCATACAATGAAATGCACTAATCTTATGTGCACTATTTGATGACAACTGACAAAATGTATACATCTGTCAACCCAAACCCTTATCAAGATATGTAACATGAACATTACCCCGGAAAGTTCACTCATGCCCTTTCTCAGGTAATCCCCACTCCCACTCCACCCCCACTTCCCAGAGGTAACCACTGTTCTGATTTTTTTTCACCATGGGTTACTTTTGCCTATACTAGAAATTCATATAAAAAGTACCATACCAGTATGTCGAAGTCTTCTTTTACCGTCACTTAACAGATGTTTTTGAGATTCATCCCTGTTGTGTGTATCAGTAGTAGTTTCCTTTTTATTGCTGAGTAGTATTCCATGATATGAATATGTAAATTGTTTCTCCTGTTGATGAATTGATAGGTGCATACTTGAATTGAAAGGTCCTTGCCCTCAAAATGCTGTCTGTCTTAAAGTAATAAAGCAGCTGAGTTGACTGATTCAGTGGTACTTTGCTTTGATTTGGGGGATAGTAGGGTCAAGATGATTTAGGTACGTACCCTAATTTACACACAGACCTTCCCTCCACTTAAAATTAGGAAAGGCCTCCTGGAGTAGGGTGAGGGGTGAAAGGCAGAGCAGGAGATCAGAAAAACTGTAAGGTTACCTTCGGTGGGGGGGTAAGAGACGAAGGGGAGGCAGGTAGAAACTGCAGCTTGGAATGGGAGTGGGGAGGTAGTGATTGCTGCTGGAGACTTTGGACCTAAGGACAGGAGATGCGGGAAAGTCCAAGGTCCACAGGAAGTTGACAGAGCCCAGGTCTCTGGTGAATTGGGCTCTGAGATGCATAGGAGCAGCTGCAGCTATACTGCAGGTCTGACCCTGGAGGGGGAGGTTGCAGGTAGCTCTAGACATGTGGCACAGGAGAGAACCCAGGCCACAGCCAGGCCTGGCAATTGTAGGGAAAACAGTGGGGAAGGGGTACCTTGTGAGCTGTGTAGATAACAGTGGCAGGACAGGGCTGATGAGGGAAGGGCTGAAATGGACCTAGTCTCCAAAGGCCCCAGGGTTGGGATGAGAGGGGTGACTTTGGCAGAAAGTTAATAAATAACTTATGTCCACAAGAGACTTAAATATTTGGAATTTTATAGCTAGAAGAGACCTAGATCATCTAGTCCAACCTTGAGCAAAGTGACAGGCTCAAGGTCCCCTAGCGATTTGTTGGCAGATCCAGGCCTAGATACCAGATCTTCTAACATTTCCTGCCAGCACTATCCCCCTGTGCTGCTGCTGTGACTGTCTGTTGTTTCTGCCTGATGCAATGCTAGTGAGGGACAAGCTTTTGCCGAGACAGCCCAAAGATTCTGGAATTCTGGGGGCTGTGTACCGTTGATACTGCTCAGATATCTAGTCCCCAGCAAAGAGCCGGCACTGGGTAAGGATTGCAGAGTGAGAATTGGAGACCATAAAAGGTGTCTTGGTGGGATAGCATTGTAGGCGGTTTGGTTCTCTGTGGTTGGGCTGAGGCTGAGATATTGGTTTGTTCCCTCCAAGTCCCCAAGGTGGGTTTCTTTCTTCATTTCCCCCACATGTCCCCCTGGAGCCATCTTCTAACCTAGCCTTTTAAGAGAGTGCAGGTAGTGACGGGTGAGAGGTAAGGTGAGCAGTGACCAACCAAAGATCCTGCATCTTAGCATATGGTAGGTCTGTCCATACCCCCATCGGCGTTCAGGAGGAGAGGGAGACACCCCCTATATTACAGTAGAGCCCTGAAGAGAGGATGCCTGCTGCCGGGCTCCCCTTCACCCTGAATCAGTCCAGGCTCAGCTAGCCGAGGCTGTCCCTGGCTTTGCACTTCTTGGGCCCTAGATTTTCTGTCTTCCCACTCCCAGGTACTGTGCTTGGAACATTAAGAACTAAAAAGTTCAGAGGGAACTTTGTTTTACCAGGTAGGCACGGAGGTCAGAGGGGGAGAGGGGTGCCTGCTAGGTCCACAGGGAACCAATGACTGGGCCAGATCTCCCACCTCTTTGGATATGCTCTATAACTCAAGAGTTCTCTAGAACTGCACTGCCCAAGCACAGGGCTGTTGAATACTTGAAATGTGGTTTGTCTGAATTGAGATGTGGTCCGAGTGTCAAATGTGCACTGGATTTCGAAGACTTAATACGGAAAAGAGAATGTAAAATATCCCAATATTTTTTACATAGGTTACATGTTGAGATGACAATATTTTGGATATCTACGTTAATAAAGTATGTTGTTAAAGTTAATTTTAACCGTTTCTTTTTACCTTTTTTAATATGGCTGCTAGAAAATTTACAATTCCATATATGACTTGAATTATATTTCTTGTGGACAGCGCTGCTCTAGAAAGGATACTCTGATCTCTCAGGGGCCACATGGGTCAGGGTGATGGGCAGGGGGAAAGCAGTTAGCCAGTACCCCGGGGCCCTTGGGCACTTCTGGCCTTGATGCCTTCCTAGGCATTGTACCTGGGTTGGGGGTCCTTCTCAGTAGAATTGGGGGGCCTGGAATGCCCTGCTTGGTTGTGGCAGTGGGGTACACAGAGAGGAAAGGCCTCTCCAGGGCTTGGCAAGAGCTCGCTGCTGCAAGGGGTAAGCTTGTAGGTCTTGTGTCCAGAACTCAGAGCGGGAGGCCTTCATGGAGAAAGAAAAAAGTACATTTAATTTCTAATTAGGTGGTACAGCCTGCTTCTTGTTCCCTGCTGGTTAGAACAAGGAAGGCTCTCTCAACTCCACCCCACCAGGTTTTTCTCCATCCTGTCCCCAGATGGGTGTGCCTAGGGGTGGGAGTAGGTTGGCGCCCTAGGCGCATAAGCCCTGGAGCTGGGGTTTTCTCTCAGGCTGCCACGACTTTCTTCCTGAGGCTATATTTAGGTGTTGGTCTGGGGAAAAGGATGTGAGCTTTTCAGGATCCTGTTTATCCAGCAGACCCCACGCCCACCCCCACCTTGCAGCTGTCTGTCCTCTATTCAGTCTGGAACTTCCCCTTACCTCCCTCCCTGCTTCACTTTGGGCGCCCAGGCCCTAGAAAGAAAACAACATTTGCCATTGAATCCTGCGGTCACCGCCTACTAGCTGTGTGACAACTAACATATACTTAATTTTCTGAGCCCTGTTTTCTCATTTGTAAAGTAGAGATAATGATACCTACCTTGCAGGGATGCTGTGAGGTTCAAATGAGATAGTGTGTGTAAAGTGCCTGGCATTATGCCTGGTGAGTAGCAGTCATTAAATAAGTGTTGGTTCTTTAAGATCTTCTGTCAGGCAGTGGCTAAGGCTGCTGCTCTAGGGATAGCAGGTTTAGGAAAGAGTCCAGTAGCATGTGATGCCTATTGCCTTAATGACATTGGTTACGGGGAGGTGATGGTGCACAGAGTCCATTTCCTTTTTCCTTTGTGTTTGAATCTTTTTTTTTAATATTTATTTATCTATTTATTTTATTTTTGGCTGTGTTGGATCTTAGTTGTGGCACGCAGGCTTCACTCTAGTTGTGTCGTGTGGGCTCAGTAGTTGCAGCGCACGGGCTTAGTTGCCCTGCAGCACGCGTGATCTAAGTTCACCGACCGAACCCGCGTCCCCTGCATTGGAAGGTGGATTCTTTTTTTTTAATTAAAAAAAAATTATTTATTTTATTTATTTAATTTTAGCTGCGTTGGGTCTTCGTTGCTGTGCGCGGGCTTTTCTTCTCTAGTTGCAGTGAGCGGGGGCTACTCTTCGTTGTGGTGTGTGGGCTTCTCATTGTGGTGGCTTTTCTTTTTTTTTTCTTAAATATTTTTATTTACTTATTTGGTTGCATCTGGTCTTAGTTGCGGCAGGCAGGCTCCTTTGTTGCGGCTCGCGTGGTGGCTTCTCTTGTGGAGCACGGGCTCTAGGCAAATGGGCTCTAGAGCGCAGGCTCAGTCGTTGTGGCGCACGGGCTTAGTTGCATGTGGGATCTTCGCAGACCAGGGCTCAAACCCGTGTCCCCTGCCTCGGCAGGTGGATTCTTAACCACTGCACCACCAGGGAAGTCCCTTGCATTTGAATCTTAAGTCAGATCCCAAGTTGGCTTGATGACATCCTCTAACCAGGAGGTTAGATCTCCCAGATGCCACCACCATGCACAGCTAAGCCTGGGTCTTTCAGGGATTACAGGAAATGACAGACTTTGGAGTCTGGGCTTTTATAAACTGATCTAAACCTCGTTTCCGTATTTGTAAAATGGGGGTAATGACAGACCTACCCGTAGCAGTGTTGTGAAGATTACCTTAATTGAGACAGTACCGTGTAAAACAGAGCACCTGGCACATAACTGGCACTCAGTGAGGGAAAGCTGTGCTCATTAGTTGGCCGTGTCTGGATTGGAGACACAGAAAGAGGCTCTGCTCGAATAACCTTTCTCCCTGTTTCTGTTTGCAGCGGCAAGGTGGGGCACGAAGGCCCTGTGCTGAGCACCCGTAGTCCTCTGGGGTGCCACCCCTAAAAATAGCACCCCACCATGTTTAACCTAATGAAGAAAGACAAGGACAAGGATGGCACGCGGAAGGAGAAGAAGGAGAAAAAGGAGAAGAAGGAGCGGATGTCAGCGGCGGAGCTGCGGAGCCTGGAAGAGATGAGCCTGAGGCGTGGCTTCTTCAACCTGAGCCGCTCCTCCAAGCGTGACTCGAAGACACGCTTGGAAATCTCCAACCCCATCCCCATCAAGGTGGCCAGCAGCTCCGACCTGCACCTGACTGACATCGACTCCGACAGCAACAGGGGCAGTGTCATCCTGGACTCGGGCCACCTGAGCACAGCCAGCTCCAGTGATGACCTCAAGGGTGAGGAAGGCAGCTTACGGGGCTCGGTGCTGCAGCGGGCAGCCAAGTTCGGCTCCCTGGCCAAGCAGAACTCACAGATGATTGTCAAGCGCTTCTCCTTCTCCCAGCGCAGCCGGGATGAGAGCGCCTCAGAAACCTCCACCCCCTCAGAGCACTCTGCCGCCCCGTCTCCACAGGTAGAGGTGAGGACCCTAGAGGGACAGCTGATGCAGCATCCCGGCCCAGGCATCCCTCGACCAGGACCTCGGTCCCGAGCCCCTGAGCTGGTGACTAAAAGGTTCCCGGCTGACCTGCGCTTGCCCCCCGTGGTGCCCCCGCTGCCCCCTGCCCTCCGGGAACTGGAACTGCAGCGACGGCCCACGGGGGACTTTGGCTTCTCCCTGCGACGCACAACCATGCTGGATCGGGGCCCCGAGGGCCAGGTCTATCGGAAGGTGGTTCACTTTGCTGAGCCCGGCGCGGGCACCAAGGACCTGGCCCTGGGGCTGGTGCCGGGTGATCGTCTGGTGGAGATTAATGGGCACAATGTGGAGAGCAAGTCCAGGGATGAGATTGTGGAGATGATCCGGCAGTCTGGGGACAGCGTGCAGCTCAAGGTGCAGCCCATCCCGGAGCTCAGCGAGCTGAGTCGGAGCTGGCTGCGGAGCGGCGAGGGACCCCGCAGGGAGCCAGCCCATGTGAGTCTTGGCCTGGGCAGCCGGGGGCAAGCAGGGATTGGGGATGTTGGCATCTCCTGCGACTGTACCTGGGTGGATGATTGGGGTACCCAGGAGCTACGGTCAGAGCCTAGCGAGTGTGTGACCGGTGAAGCCGTGCCACTCCTTGGGCTCCGGGACGACTTACCTGGCCTGTGGTGTGATACACAGCGATACAAGCTTCATGATACCCTGGTGGGCTAATATGTCCTGAGCCCTAAATTGGGGCATGGGGGCTAACATGTGCCACTTCCAGATGTGAGAGCCACTCTGGGCTACTACTGGTCCAGACTGGTATCTGGACTAAAATATAGGATTTCCATTATTTAGATATTGGAGGTGAAAAAAAGATAAATTATTTTAAATCAGGGCTCACATTGGTAGCTCCTGGGGAGATGACCTCAGGCCTCCTTTTACCCCTCAGTGACTGAGGAGCTGAATACCAGGTAAGGTTGCAGAGATAATCAGTGGCCAGATCATCGAAGACCTTGTAAATAATGGTAGGAGTTCAGATTTTATCCCAGTGAAACGGGACCATTGTAGGGTGTTCAGCAGGGGAGTGACTGGATCTGATTTATAAAGAACACTAGGCCTCCAAGAGTCTTTATTATCTCTTGGAAGAAGAAAAAGCACGGCCCTGGAAAGGCAAAAGGGATCAGGCCTACAGAGATAGTATGACCTAACTATCCCTGAGATCCCAACTCTTATCCTGCCCACACAAAACAGCAGTGGAAGGGGGTGACATAGGAGCAGAAGAGACTGAGATTAGATGTATGAGCAGGTCTCTGAGGGGATGGAGATCTCTAACCCCAGGGGACTTTTGATAGGGTGGCTACAAATCAGTTTGGAGTGTTCTGCCTGGAGACAGTCTAGGAGGGACAGGTTGGCCTCTAGCCATCCCTTTGTCCTGGCTGTGGGTTTTAGGATCGTTCCGATCTGGTCCCTGCAGCCTGACCACTGCATAGCCTGGCCAGGACCTTTCAGCACTAAGTGACCAGCCAGATGTGTCAAAGTCAGAAGCGGGAGGAAATGCTAAGGAAGCAAGCAGAGTCCTGGTCCTGGCTTTCTCCTGGGGAGGGGAAGTGGGAGCTCAGATGGCTGTTCAGCCTGGCAGCGTCTCGGGCCAGGGGGGCCTGGGAGCGGCAGGGTTAGGCTCTGGCGGGAAGCACTGGAGCTGGGTTCCCGGCCTTCCTTTACCCGGGGGCTGGTGGGGTCAGGCAGCTTTGCTAGTCAGGAAAGGGTAGTGAGTGGAAGGGAGCCTGTTGTGGAATCCAGGGGAAGACCTGGACCCATTTATTCCGGAAACACACATCAGGCACCTACTGTGTGGTAGCCATCAGGCTAGACTGAACTCAGGGAAGTGCAACCTAGAGGGAGTAGTCTTTATTTCAGAACCAAAAATCATACCGTGTTGCCATGTCTGTCTGCTTTCTACCAGGCTAGCATTGCTTTTAACAGATGGAACTCTCTTCTTCTTAAAGAATGAATCTCCCCTGGGGGATTGTTGCCAGCTCCCTGTTGAACCACAGCACAGGCCTCTGTGGGGCCCTGGGCCTGGCATCTCGGATGCTGTTTAGTTTTGTCTTTATAGCACAGGGATCATCCTGGTATCTCATATTTCCCAGCCACTCTCCCTTCCCAGCTAGCTGCTGCTACCTCATCCCTGGGGAAGTGGATGGCTTCGCTTTGGAGGCCCTGGTGGATTCCACATTACAGCAGGTAGCCCTGAAATGCTGGCTTGTTCTCGTCCCTGTGGGGCAAACCCAGCTGGTGGCCAGAGGACGTCTTTGTCCACCTGAGGGATCGGGCAGGGGGCGTAGTTGAAAGCCCCATCCTCATGAGTCTCCTAGAGCCCTCTGACAGGTTAAGAGAAGCCCTGTATCTTTTCCTACCTGGGTAGGTGGTGGGGACTCAGGCCACAGCAGAGGGGAGTGGAGTGAGCCCAGCATTCCAGCTTCCTGGGACAGACCCCGGAGCGGGTGTGGGAGTGCTGCAGCCTCTTCTGCGGCTCTCATCCTCTATCTCCTCCTCTTCCTCCTGCTCCTTTTCTTGGCAGCAGTTCTAATCCCAGTTCCATGCCAAGAAAAGAGTCTTCCCGCCTCCTCCAGGCTGCTGGGTGGGGTACCCTGACAACTCCAGCCCCACGGGTACAGCTCCTGGCGGCCACCCTGCCCATCAGGCCATCCATCAACTGTGTCCACACGTTGCCTGTCCCCAGGGAGCTCTGAGGGAGCTGGCTAGCCATCTGTTCTCTTTTGGCACACAGATGGGGGCCAGGCCCCATGGCTTTTTCCGTGGCCTCTTCAGAAGGCCCCAGGGAGAGACAGCCCCTTGGGTTTCCTTCTCACATGGTGTGTGTCCAGAATGCTTGGCTCACACCTTCTTCGTGTATCCCTGTGGCTGCTAGACAGGGTTCCACTGGGGGCAGGGGTGAGCTACGGTAGTAAGATAGACTTGGGGCCTGATAGGAACCACTCAGCTGGCCTGAGAGAAACAACTCTTCTGCGTCTTTTCTTCCGCTCACCTATCTATCAAACAAACATTTGTTGAGCACTTTCTGTGTGCTAGGTCCTGGGGTCCAGCAGTGAGCAGCACATACCCCCAGCCCCAAGGAGCTCATAGTGTGGTGGGAGGGATGGTCAAGTGGCAGACAAGGGCAATGCCATTTGAGAAGCTCAGTGACAGGGGCCAGGACACGGCCCTAGGGAGCACAGAAGAGGGACTTCTAGGACAGCCTTGGGAATGAGTCAGGGAGGACTGACATCTGGGTGGGAGATGAGTGTCAGGGAGGCGAGAGGAGGAAGAGGAAGGCTGTAAGACACATGTCAAGGTCTAGAGGTTGGAGAGAATGACACATCTGGGGAATAAGACTGGGGGACAGTGTGGGGACATTATTGAGAGAAGCAGCAGGAGAAGCAAGCAGGGGCAGGTCACAAAGGCCCTTGTGAGTCACGCTAGGGAATGTGAACTTTAACCCAAGGGCAATGAAGCAATTTAATTAGGGAGTGATGGGAACAGGTTTTTGAAAAATCTCTCTGCGTATGGAGAATGCTTTCAGGTGTAGCAAGGATAGCTGTGGGGAGAATAGTGAGGGAGCTGTTGTAATCTCAGTAGGATGGATGGAGGCGTGAACTTGGGTAGAAGCAGTGGAGATGGAGAGATGTATCAGATGGGAGCAACTGAGGTAGGCTCTGTTGTCTTTTTTATTTTATTTCAGCTTTTTTAAAATTAAAATACAGTTGATTTACAATGTTGTGTTACTTTCTGGTGTACAGCAAAGTGATTCAGTTTTATATATGTATATAAAATATATATTTTTTCAGATTCTTTTCCATTATAGTTCATTACAAGATATTGAATATAGTTCCTTGTGCTGTATAGTAGGACCTTGTTGTTTATCTGTTTTATATATAGTAGTTTGTATCTGCTAATCCCAAACTCCTAATTTATCCTTCTCCCTCCATTTCTCCTTTGGTAACCATAAGTTTGTTTTCTATGTCTGTGAGTCTATTTCTGTTCTTTTTAAAAAATTAATTAATTATTATTTGGCTGTGTCGGGTCTTCATTGCTGCACACGGGCTTTCTCTAGTTGTGGCGAGCGGGGGCTACTCTTCGTTGTGGTGCGCTGGCTTCTCATTGAGGTGGCTTCTCTTGTGGAGCGTGGGCTCTAGGTGCACGGGGCTTCAGTAGTTGTGGCACATGGGCTCTGTAGTTGTGGCTCACGGGCTCTACAGCGCAGGCTCAGTAGTTGTGGTGCACGGCTTAGTTGCTCCGCGGCATGTGGGATCTTCCCAGACCAGGGCTTGAACCCGTGTCCCCTGCATTGGCAGGAGGATTCTTAACCACTGTGCCACCAGGGAAGTCCCAGTTTCTGTTCTGTAAATAAGTTCATTTGTATCATTTTTTTATATTCCACATATAAGTGATAGCATAGGATATTTGTCTTTCTCTGACTTACTTCACTTAGTGTGATAATCTCTGGGTCCATCCATGTTGCTGCAAATGGCATTATTTCATTCTTTTTTATGGCTGAGTAATATTCCACTGTGTATATATACCACACCTTCTTTATCCATTCATCTGTCCAGGTCTTGGCTATTGCAAATAGTGCTGCTATGAACACTGGGGTGCTTTGTAGTCTTGTTGATTGGTTGGTGTGGGAGAAGGAAGAGAAGAGGGGTCAAGCATGACTGCCAGGTTTAGGAGAAGATGCTACGTTCTTTCCTTGGCTCCTCAGGGAAAATGTTCTAGGGACATCTGTTTTGGGATCAATTACCCTTAAGTTTTCTAAAGGCAAAGAGTTCCTTGAGTTGGCGAGATTGAGGGAGGTGTTGGTAATGATGAGGGTCTTAAAACCCCAGTTGGTTCAGAATTCCTTCCTCCAGGTCCATGAGTCTGAGTGGAAAAGTCAATAACCATTAAGAAGGGGTAGAAGCCTGGCCGGGACTAGGACCTGGGAGAGGGGAGAGCGGTCCCTTCTGTTTGTATCCTCAGTGGGCCCTTCACGGGGGACAAATGTGTTGTTTGGGAATGTAAGATGTTTCTGCTGAGCTCAGAAAAGCCCAGCTGGCTAAACCCTGGCCGATGTGGTTGTCCCCCTGCCACCAAGAGCTAGAGAAGCTGGCCTGCATGGGAGCCGTACCTAGAAAGCACTGCTCCCCTGAGCTTCTGAGGATATGGTGGGAGGGGAGAGATGGGGGTTTAAAGGAAGGCCTACCACTCCCTCCCAGTCAAGGCTAGTTTCCTGATCTGTCAGGCATTTGCCCGAGATCCGTGGTACAGTTTCTTCTGTTGGACCTTGGGGTTTGTACTCAAAGGCTATAGGGGACTTCCCTGGTGGCGCAGTGGTTAAGAATCCACCTGCCAATGCAGGGGACATAGTTTTGAGCCCTGGTCCGGGAAGATCCCACATGCCGCGGAGCGACTAAGCCCGTGCACCACAACTACTGAACCTGCGCTCTAGAGCCCGCGAGCCACAACTA